TTGGGTTGGGTTGAGTTGGGTTGGGAAGATCATTTTGTTTCAGACCCTGCTGTGGGCAGGACACCTTCTTGGTGCAGGATGCTCCAAGCTCATCCTTGAGCACTTCCAGGGATGGGGCAGCCATAGCTTCTCTGGGACTTCCATCCCAGGGCCACCCCACCCTCCCAGGAGGAATTTCTCCCAATATCCCATGGAATCCTGCCCTTCCCAGCCCTGGTGTGGCCTTGATCAGCCGGCTCTCTGCCTGACCCATCCTCCTCATTCTGCCCTCACAGCAAGATGGCTTCTGGATCTACTCAGAGTACTGTAACAACCACCTGGACGCGTGCATGGAGCTCTCCAAGCTGATGAAGGACAGCAGGTACCAGCACTTCTTCGAGGCGTGCCGCCTGCTGCAGCAGATGATCGACATCGCCATCGACGGCTTCCTGCTGACGCCCGTGCAGAAGATCTGCAAGTACCCCCTGCAGCTGGCAGAGCTGCTCAAGTACACGGCCCAGGAGCACAGGTAAGCCAGCAGGCACAGGGCCCAGGCTGCTTCCCTACACAGGGACTGGACTTTTCTGTCCAGGGCTCCTTCCCACCCAAGGCTTGGACTTTTGTGTCCACTCCTCCTTCCCACCCAAGGCTTGAGCTTTTCTGGCCAGGGCTCCTTCCCAGCATGGCTTGGGCTTTTCTCTCCACTGCTCCTTCCCACCCAAGGCTTTTCTGTCCAGCTCTTATCCCTGTGACATCCTGGATAAATGGGAGCAGGACAAAGGGTCAGCAAACAGTTCAGTCTTCTCAAAACAGCAATTCTCGATGGACACACACTCAGCTCTGTTCTAATCAGACATGTGAACTAATTACCCTTGGATGTACTTTCTGATGCTGCCAGTTACACTGGAAAAATTACCTAATTAGCATTCAGTGGTCTGAGAGGCTCCTTCCCTGCTCCTGGGGAGAACCTGGGCACACAGTGAGTACAGGGCCAGGATCTGCAACTGGACCCTGATGTGGGGAGAACTCCAAACCTGCTCAGCTTTTCAGCCCTGTCCTATCTCTGGTCTTGCCACGGGGTTCAGAGGAGCACCTGCAGTTTGATTGCTTCCCAAAATTTCCAGGATCTCTTTTGCTGCTGCTGAGGACAAATCAGGCTGGCAGCCTGACAGTGTGAATCAGGAGCATTGCCTGTGATACCACTTGGGATTTACTGCTGTGAAAATAAGGTGAAAGAAAAATCAGGCCCTGTAAGAGCAGATTTGCTCCTGCCCTGCCAATTTTCTTTCTTTTTCCAAAACCCATTTAAAAACAAGTGAGAACAGAAAAGACCAGAGATGTTTCAGAAACTTTTGCAAGTGTTTGATGGCTTGTTTTTCCCAAGCCCAGCCCCAGAAGAGCAGAAGTGATGTGAGCATTGATTTGCTTTGAGCTGACCCACAAGTTTGAGTGATTCAGGGTAACCAAATGCCCAAAATCACAAATTTGGAGGAGCCATTGGCTTCAGATCCAATTCCTGCTTTTCCAAAGACCAACTCAAACTTGGGATGGACTCGTGGGAACCTCAGGGTATGGGAGAGCAGCTCTGGGATCCCACAGCTTGTGGGTTTTCTCCTCAGCAGCCACGTGAGGACGGCCTGGGAGCTCAGATGTGGCTGGGAGGGTGTGGAAAATGTCCCTGTGGGAGTTATTTGGGAGCCATAGCAAAGGGGATGTGGGCAGTGTGGTAACACCAGGGCTGGGCTGTTTGGGGAGCACATTCCTGTTCCCTTTGGGATGTTTGAAACTCTCAGAGTCGTGTTCTGAGGAGCTTTGGGAGCTCTCCTGTGGTTCTGCAGCAGTTGGGTGAGTCAGCCTGAGAGCTCAGTGCCTCTGGATTGCTGTGGACACTCCTGGGAAGGGAAGCAGGGTGAGGTTTGCTCACCTTGCATTAGGAGGAGTAGCCCCTGAAGCACAGGGGGGAAACCTGCGGCTGCACAGAGCCGGTGCCATATCCCAGGAGTGGGGCAAAACATGGAAAAACATGGGATTCCCAGGGAAAGCAGGGATGTGAACTTCATCTAAGAGAGAAACTTGATCCTCTTTTTCTTTTTTGCTTCCTTTTCACTACCAGCACACCTGCAGAGCTGTGGATTTTCCCTGCAGCAGGTCAGGACAATGCTGAAACCAGAATCCAGACCCGGCTCCCCAGAGCTAGCATGTGATGCTTGGCAAGGATCTAGACTTGGATTCTGATGGAGCACTGGGAAGTGGCTGCTGCAGCCCCAATAGAATTGACAAACCATTTATTTACCTTCATCTCATGGTTAATGGGATCCTATTATTGCCTCATGGCCAAATGCTCTCTGCTTCTGTTGTTTTTTTTCTTCTAAGTTTTTGCCAGCTCTGCCACAGACACGGGCTGGGAGCCCAAAAAGTTCAGTCCTGAGCCTTTTCTTCATTACAGCGTGACAGGAAAACATTGCTGGGGTTTTCTCATGGAATTAGGGAATTAGCATTCCCAAGATAAACGGCTGGCACCGTCCCACTCTGCACGGAGGCAGGATGGGGGTGAGCTCAGAGCCTGCCTCCCTCCAACTGCTGCCTGTTTGCAGCCTGCTTCATTTGAATTTTTCACAGAGCCACATCTGTTCACCTCTTAAAGATCTACTCCAGCTTAATATGAATTAAATATAGGAAGGTCCTAAGTGCAGCTTGCTGGAATCCTGAGCATTCCCAGAGCAGAAGGGAGCTGGAGCTGGGAATGTGGGAACATGTGAGGAGCCTCTGCCAGGGAATGTCCTCCTGAGCATGAGCATCACTGCTGGGAGATGATTAGTGCCTGTCTGGAAACCCTGAACCTCTCCCTTGCCTCTCCAGATCCTTCCTGGCCATAGGGACCTCCCTGTTTCCCTAAAGAACTCCTGGATGTTCTCCAGGCCCCCCTGATGTCCCCCTGGCACAGCTCCTTTCCTGCCTTGCACCACCAGCACTCCCTTCCCACAGCTGCTGGCACAGAGGGAGCCACAGCAATTTCTTCATTGTGTAGCACGATCCCTTCCATCCCTGGAAGTGTCCAAGGCCAGGCTGGATGGGACTTGGAGCACCCTGGGATAGTGGAAAATGTCCCTGCCCATGGCAAGGGGTGGAGCTGGATGGGCTTTGAGGTCCCTTCCCACCCAGACCTCCCTGTGATGGAGATACCAGGCAGCCCATCCTTTATTTTTCTTTATTTTGCTGAAGGCCCAGTCCTGCTGTCCTGGAATTTGTTGGATTATTTTTAACCACACCTAGAATTTTGATGTAAGAATTTAAGGAAAAAAATGAAAACTCAAGATTTCATCTGAGCAAGGATGCCAGAAGAGTAAATATTTTTTGTATATTACAGTGTGTTTGTTTCTTAGTATTTATCCTGTTGGGAATACATGGAGAGGGGATCAAATTCCCAGCATTCACCCCTCTTTTAGCTGTCACCAGCACAATCCTTAGCAATAATCAATAAAGCCATTCCCCCTGCAGCTGCCCAAGATGGCAGTTTTTCTCATTAGTCAGCAATCAATAGGAGCCCTTAAGTTAATAATACATTGTGGTGGTGGTGTGGCAGCTGGCCTCCCCTGCCTTCCCAGTGGAAATGAACATTACAGCTCCTTGGAATGGAAAAGCAGGCACAGGGCAGGAATCAATGGCATTGATTTCAGCATCACTTTTTGAAAAGACTGATCATCATCCTCAGTGGCCCTGGCAGGAGCCTGTTCCCACTCTGTGTTACTGCACTCACAGGGCCATGCAAGGGGGAAAAAAAAAGGAGTTGCTTGATTTGCTCACCTGAAATCTGCAGTGAATTCCACAGGGTGGCTGCTCTGCGAGGGGCTTGGGAGGTGCTCTGGTCTTTGTCTAAATGAACCCTTTCCTAAATGATCATTTTAAAACCAGAAAAGTCCAGACTGAAGGACAGAGGCTGTAAAAGCGTTCAGCCTGTGTTTAGAACGTTCTTCAGCTGGGCACCTTGGGGCTGTGAAGGGCTCCCCAGGGCTGGGTTGGTGAAGGCCACACTGAGCTCCCAATTCTGTTTCCACCAAGCTGCTCCATTGTGACAATCCAGATGGAAAAACCCCATTCTAGCACTGAGGGGTCACCACTTCCCGTGTCCCTGTGGGCTGCTGAGGTTGTGACAGACTCCTGGCTGTGTCCTGCTGCCTTTGATGGCCTTTTTCTCTCTTTTTTCTCTTGTCCAGTGACTACAGGTACGTGGCCGCTGCCCTCGCCGTCATGAGGAACGTGACCCTCCAGATCAACGAGCGCAAGCGGAGGCTGGAGAACATCGACAAGATAGCTCAGTGGCAGGCCTCTGTCCTGGACTGGGAGGTACAGTAAACCCAGCCTGGCAACCTGGCAAGGGCCAATTCCAGGCTCTTCCTGAATTATCTCAGACCCTGTGGTTCATTTCACACAGTTTGGGGTTAAGCCTGGGGCGGAGAAGGAGCAATTGTGGCCTTGGGGTGTTGCTTAAACCTTAATGGTACCCTAAAGAAAAGTCAGGGTTCAGTTCCAGTTTCATCACTGGCAACCTGAGTGACTTTTGTGATTGCAGTGCTGGTAGTGGGTGAGACTTGGAGCAAGCTCTGTGTGCATCCTGCCCCTGTGCTGTGTCACTGGGGAGGGACGAGGGGGAGATGTAGCAAAAAGCCCTGGGAATTGAAGAGGTTAAGAAAATGAAGAAAATCCTCCTGGTGGCTGCTTTATGACTGGAAGCCAAACTGTTAAACCCGAGTTAGAGATGCTATTTGCATTTTATAAATGACATCCCACTTAAAGATATTTCTGAACCAGCCCTGTGTGTAGTGATGGTGTAATTAAGGAGCCGAGAGGCACAGGGAAGGCAGAGTCAGCAGAAGGATTCCTCACCAGCAGGCCCTCAGTCTCTACATTTGTGCCATGTGTTTGGAAGAAAAGCCATACTAAAATTATGTTCTCCCTTTCTTTTTGTCCCTGATTTTTTAAAATCATTGTATGGAAGTAATCCGTAAATAGGGTTTCGCAGCAGATTGAGGACAAACGTTTTTGTAAATCCTCTCGCTGTTGTCATCAGCCCATGTGTTCAGCAAGGAGATAATCAGAGTGATGGAGCAGCCTTTCTGCTTCCTCACTTGTGAAGTCTGAAATAACTCCCATTCCAGTCATTGGGATCATGCTGTGTAAATGAGTGTATGGGAAACAGGCGTTAATCCTTTAATTATTTTATTTCTGGCCAAGATCTGTGAAGGCTGGGAGAAGGGGAGAAATACAGGTGCATCACCTGTGTCCTCCTTGGCTGAATGAGTTTCATTGCTGTGATGGAGGTTGGGTTTAACCCTGGATCTGCTGATAAAACACACAATAAAAGCCATAAATGCAGCAATCAGAGCTGGCATGCTGGCTGGCTGGGAGAGCAGAGAGCACAGACCATGTGTCTGATTGTTTTCCTGCTCAGGAACATCTCTCACTGCCACACAGACTCATTTCCAGAAGGAGGAATCTGCTCTGCAGGACCATCAGCTCCTGCTCAGCCCTGGAGTGTGCCATGGGATGAGCTAATGGGGGTCATTTGTGAGGAGCTCCAAGCAAATAAATCTCGATTAAGGACAGATCCATTCCGAGCCAGTGAATATTCATGTGTGAGAGGGAAGCCAAGGTGACCTCCACACAGGATCTGTGGAATAGCAGTTGCTTCTTCTCTTCCATTAGCTCAGTTGATAATTCATTTTTATTTAGCCCTATCCTTGATAATTCATTCCTGCTTAGCAGTACCCATTCTTTATCTCCATCCTATCCCCAGAAACTTGCCAAATTATTCTTCCAGGCTTTTTTCAGCTATTCCAGATTTTTGAGCGCATTATTGCAGCAGCATCCTTCGGCTTCTCGTAGCATAGCAAAGGCTGCTGTTGGTAGGCTCAGAAATCCGATGGGAACACGGCTCCTGGTCCAAGGAAAACGCCCTCCTTGCCCTGTTCATTCTGGGTTTTGGATCGAGAAGAGTCACAGAGTTTTGATGAGGAAGTAGAGGATGAGAGCTGGACCCAACAGAGGATTTCACTGCTTGTTTCTTTCCTCTAAAGCAATTCTGAATCATCAGATCCAGCCCCCACTGCACAGCTGTCCCTGGAACAGCCAGAAGGATGCACAGAAACCCAAAATACCCAGAAGTGAGCCACAGGAATGCAGGAAGAGAGTGGGAGAAATGAAAAGATGGGATCTTTGGGAAGTGCTGAGATGTGTGCAGCTGTTCCTGCACAAATCCCCAAATGTCACTCGGTGGCTGCAGGAATGTCCCCAGGACACGGAGCATCGGGGTTGGCTCCTCAGCCAGCCCCTGAGGGCTCAGAGCTCTGTCTCCTGTGCAGTTTTGGGGTAGAGGAGGGACCCCCTGGTGGGTGTCCCCAGCCTCTCCAGGCTGTGGGGAAGGGACATCTCTGGTTTGAGGAGAAGACCACAGCTCCCAGTTGGTGTTTGCTGTCCCTGCTGAGTGGCCTGTCCATCTGTGTGATGTTCCCTGAGCAGAGAGAGGAACCCACAGCTGTAATTCCCAGTTTTCCTGCTCCTGCTCCTGCTCTATCCACACCTTGCTGTCCCTGTTCTGTCCACCCCAGTGGCTCCAGAGCACAGCCCTCCTGAGACCCCCTGAGAACAGCACTGACCACAGGGAAACAGGAGTAAAAAAATCACAAGTTTGGTCTGGTTTCCACCAGAAATCCAGGCAGGGCACTGGATAGAGCTAATCCCAAATTCCCACCACGTTGGCACTTGGTGAATGATTTCAGTGGCTGAATGTTTCAGCACGTGGAAATATTTCATTTGGAGGAATGTCTGTTTTTCCTCAGCATCTCGAGACTGATGATGCTGATTCTCTGCTCTCAAGCTGCGTTTTCATTTCTAAATTTACCCATGTTTTGTGAGGAGATGGTGGAGATGAAGATGGTTCTTCTTTTTTTAAAGAAGAAGGAAAAATTCCCAACCAAACAAAAAATACCTAGTGAGGGAATATTTGAAATGGTCTCATTTGTAAAATGTGTGCAAGTTTTCTTGAAAGGAGAGGTGTTGTTGGGAATGCTGATCCTAAAACAAAATAGGAAAAGTAAGGGCATGTCCAAGCTGCTTTAAGCAGCGGGGTTTTACTGAATCCCATATTTTAGGAATCATTTTTATTCCTCCCATGGGATAAAAATGTATCCCATGGTGGTGAATTTCAGGGTGAGGATTTGAAAACTGCAAATATCCTCGAGTTAAGCAAAGCCAGAGGTTTTCCCCAAGACATCCTGCGAGCAGGATCTGATTGTTTAAATTGCCAGTGGGACCAGGAAAGGGTGGCCTGGCACGAGGGACAGCCAGGCCTGAAGTCTTAAGGAATTATTGGCAGCTTTGGCAGCTTCAGACAAGTAATGACTGAGCAGAATCTTAAGGGAAGATTGTGATCTCACTGTCTGCTGTAAATCAGGAATAATCCCAGGCACTGTGAGATGAGTTCCTGTGTAATTTGTGGCAATGTGGCCTGGCTTGGTCTGTTGCCACGTGTGACTCACTTCTTTATTTTGTAACCTGAATTCCCAGTGTATCAACAGACCCAGGAAAGTGCTGCCCACACCAGTCCTCCAGTGCCTTTTGTCCTTTGAGCTCAGATTTTGGGGCTTCCACCACCTCCCACCGAGCCCTTTCAGTGCCTTTCAGTTCTGAAGCGTTCCCTGATGTTCCAGCTCCGTTTCCCCCTGCTCAGCATCATCTCCTTGCTCGCAGAGAAACACCCTCAGATCAAACCAGTGACATTCCCAGGCAGCAAGGCAAACCAGCACACAGAGCTGGCTTCAAAGGGGGCAGCCAGAGCCCATCCTGGGCAGCCTTTGCTGCTCTCTCCCTCGCTGTTTCTGCCCTCTGAGGGAGCTCCAGCTCTCAAAGCTTGGTGGGAATAGCTCCACACACACACAGAGCAGAATTAAAAGAGATTTCCACGAAGCCCATCCTCATTTCCAAGTCCTTGCCAGCCCCAGCGTGGGCAGGGCTGTATTTACACAGCTCAGAGGAGCATCCCTGCCTTCCCCTCTGCTCCTGGTCCCTCTCTCCTGCCCCCCAGAGGGATCCTGTGAGCCCCTGGAGCCCCGTGCCCCCTGTGCTGGGCTCTGCTCCTGGGCAGGATCTGGGCTCTGTTCCCATGGGCACAGCCCAGCACAGCCTCCCTGAGTGGCCTGGATGGGTGATGGGAGATGGAAAACAGTTCTGTGCCTCAGCACACCTGGAATTGCTCAATTTTATGCCTTTTCACATAGCTCTTGAACCACATCAAAACAAAATGAAGTAGCAATCACTGCAGCAGTTCAGGCTCCCTCTCCAGCCCTCCAGCAGCACTTTCCTCCCTTTCAGCCCAGTTTTTCCTCAAAGGAGGGAGGTGATGTGGCTCCCATTCCCTGGGAGGAGATCTGTGAAGGTCCCTGATCCAGCAGGGGGATGTTTGGCACAGGACAGAGCCTTCCTCATCAGCCTGGATGCATTTGAGCTTGCTATTTAAACAGATTACTTTGGTTTGTGTGGATATTTAGCTATTTCTACCAAAGATTCCCATGGGGTGCCACTGTGGCAGCTTCCAAGAGTATTCAATTTCCATGAAGGGAGAAATATATATCTTTGAGAAATTTAATGGGCATTGTCCTTTTAAATTTCTCCTCATTCCTGTTATTTACGGGTCCTTTAAATCAAGACTTGCTGCCCTTAATTATGTAATCTATAATCACTGGCCTCAGCCTGATGCTGCATTAGTGAATCCAAGAGTGCCACAAAAGGAAGCTGCCTGTAACCACCAAAGTGAGGACAGCCTGATGAGAAATCCTCCTGGGAAAAAGACCATGGCAGGGACAGAAATGGAGCTTTCCTTTTTTCTCATCTTCCTTTTTTTCCATCTCCCCCCTCCCCCAGCTACAGAAGGTATCAAAACTGAGCCTGTTGAAAAGGACAACATTTTGCTGGCGTTCCTTTTTGTGATCTCAGCGTAGCCCCGGGTGCTAATCAGCCTGTCAGTCTCTAATTGCAGAACAACGGTGTCAGGCACGAGAGAGCCCTGCTGGCTCCCTGGGAATGGGGAAAGGGCACAAAATCCCCTCCTGGTGCCCAGCAAAGGGTGTCAGGGTAGGCTGGGAGCAGCTCTGGGGGGCTCTGAGCATTCCAGAGCCCAGGGAAGGGTGAGCAGCTCTCAGTGCCAGCCCTTCCTTGATATCCTGCTGCTCCCAACAGCATTTATTTCACAGCACTCTTAAACCTCTTTGGTTCCTCCCAGCTGCCCATTCCCTGTGCAGGGAGCTGAGGATCCACATCTTCCCAGGCAGCAGCAGCAGAGCTGAGCCTGTCACAGTCAGGAGTGGCCTGGGGACTCAGTGTCACTGCAGGGCTCGGGGCAGCTCACATCCCCAGATCTGGGTGACCTTCTGCTCCCATTTCTGCACACCAAGGGCTGGGGCTCTGCCCAGCACGGCGTGGAGAAGAGAGGAGTCAGCTTTCCTTGGGCTGCCCTCTGGATGCTGCACTGAAAAGCCTGGATGCATCTGAGGAGAGCTGAGGGGTTTTTTGGAGGCTCATGGGGCAAAAGTCAGGTCGGGAAAGGCGTCAGGAGTCAGGGCTTCTCTTGGCCACTCTGCTGAATGTCTGCCAGTTCAGAGCACCTAAAAGTTCAGCCCCTTTTTTCAGCAGGGTTTGTCTTAATTTACAGAAGGATACAGATAATTCAGCCTCTGTGGGAGCTGGAAAAAAAATGGAGGAGAAAAAGGAAATTATTTTCCTGGTTCTGTACAGATTTGGAGGCATGGGACTGGGACAGACATTTGGGGAAGTCTGCCTGGAACAGGGATCGAGGCGTTCTGGGGGAGCCACGGTGGCACTGGAGCTGAGAAGCCAATGTTTGCCCCTCCTCACCCTGCAACTGCCCCCTGAGCCCCTCAGGAGAAGACAATTTGTACTCATCAGAGAGGTACAGCTGTGTCAGGACAGGAACAGCCTCTGGAGGTTCAGAGGTTCTGCCCTGAGGCTGCTCTGTGGGAACTGGCACAGGCTGGAGCAGCAGGGCAGGACCATGGACAGGCTGCTCTTGGCCAGCCATGTGCCACTCCCAAACTCTCTGCAATCTGAATTTCCCAATTTGCTCACCCCAAGTGGGAAATGAGCTATTTCTAGCCTGTAGACTGGATATAGAAATTGTTTTCCCCACATAAGAAATGCAATACAAATCCCATCATTTCGGATCTGGATGTTTTTGGGTTATGTTGCTTGCAGGGACTACACAGTTTGGATTCAGCTAATCAAGTAGAAGTGTTTACAGAGCCCTCTGTGTGTCCTCAGGCTTCAGATGCTACCACAGGAGTAAAAGACAAAGCTGGCTTTCTATTTTTAGCAGCCAGCCTCTCCTAAGATCGCCCCCTCTCCTAAAGCTCCCATCCATAGGCTTGTGGGAATCTTCTTCATGTAAGCTGATGTGTAGCAAGGAAAGCTCACAATTTCTGGAGCTGCTGTGTTTTCTTCAGAGGCTTCTTGTTGTGGGGCTGGTGTCCCCCTGAGCTGTGGCAGCAGCACTCGCTCCCTGGGCTGTGGCCAGGCTGGGGTGGGACTCTGCTGAGGCACTGGCAGATCATAGCCCATCCCTTTGGGCAGTGACCCTCTGTGTCCCTGGGAATTCATCCCTGGTTAGCCCCTGGGACAGCACAGGCACGGGAGGGAGGCAGGGAGGTGGATAAAGCCCTGGCTAAGGCGATTTGAAGTCTGTGCTGCAGCTTGGTGATGCAGTGACTTAATGAAGCTGCTGTTGTCACAGGGCCCGGCGACACAGGCAGTTGCTCCCAATCAGTGCTGAGAGGTTAATTACACATTTACCTGAGCAGCACTTTGAAATCCTCACCACGGAATCAGGAGTGGGGGGGACCCCTGGCTGCCTTGGCGCCTGAAGTGTGAGCAGCACCAGAAGTGTGTGTCTAGCTTGATGCCCCCCAGAGCTGGCTGAACCTTGACAAGCTGCTTGCTGGGATTTTGGGGACGTTCTTGTCCCAGAAATCGGTTCCAGCTTGGCATCAAAGACAGAACTGCAGTAGTTCTCAGCCAAAAAGAAAAAAAAAAGCTCTTCTCTGTCTTGTTCCTGAATGCTGCTCCTCAGTCCTGCCCCTCAATCCTGCCCCTCAGTCCTGATCCTCAATCCTGCTCCTCAATCCTGCTCCTGAGCTGTTCTCAATCCTGATCCTCAATCCTGCCCCTCAATCCTGCCCCTCAATCCTGCCCCTCAATCCTGCCCCTCAATCCTGCCCCTCAATCCTGCCCCTCAATCCTGATCAATCCTGCTCCTCAATCCTGCCCCTCAATCCTGATCAGTCCTGCCCCTCAGTCCTGCCCCTCAATCCTGCCCCTCAATCCTGCCCCTCAATCCTGCCCCTCAATCCTGCCCCTCAATCCTGATCAATCCTGCCCCTCAATCCTGCCCCTCAATCCTGCTCCTCAATCCTGCCCCTCAATCCTGCTCCTCAATCCTGCTCCTCAATCCTGCCCCTCAATCCTGATCAATCCTGCCCCTCAATCCTGCCCCTCAATCCTGCCCCTCAATCCTGCCCCTCAATCCTGCCCCTCAATCCTGCCCCTCAATCCTGCCCCTCAGTCCTGCCCCTCAATCCTGATCAATCCTGCCCCTCAATCCTGCCTCTCAATCCTGCTCCTCAATCCTTCTCCTCAGTGCTGCTCCTCACCTTTCAGCTGGAGCCATCCCGCCTCCTTCCGTGGTGCCCGCAGGGCAGGTGGTGGTGAATTCACCCATTTTTAATAAATAGATTTTAATTAACTTTTTAAAAAGTCCAGCTCATTCCAATTAGTGGAGGGTGACTGCATTTGTTCTCTCAGAGAGTGGGAGAGAGAGCTCGCTGTGTTTTCAAGACCATCTGCTCATGAATCCTTTAAAAAAAAAAACCTGGGAGAGGAAAACAAGCGTGCTCGGGAGGCAGGGAAGGGTGAGGGCAGTGTGGCAGCCAGCAGGGGGGCCTGGCCAGCCGGGGGTCCCGGGGCTGCCACAGGAGCCAGGATGGTCCTGATGGGATTTTGGAGCTGGAGCTCTAAGGAGCTCTGGGAGAAGGGAATGGCAGTGCCTGGATGAGGGAGAAGAGAGGCAGCAATCCAGAGGGCTGAGTTGTGACAGCCTCAGAGATGAGGAGCTGATACCCCAGTGTGTCCCAGGCTTTTGGAGCTGGCTGGAGATATCAGTGCTTTGGGATGCTGATTTAAAGGGAGGGCATGCAGGGAATTTGGTGCCCTGAATTTCCAAGTGCCTCTGGGGTGGGCAGGAGGAAGGGGCATTGTTTTCCTGATGCCAGCAGCACCTGCAGCAAGATCCAGGGTTCTGGGGGTACCTGGAGAGGGAAGGGGGACAGTGTGGATTGTGGATTGTGGATGGGATTCAAGCACCCACATCTCTTTCATTTACTCCCCTTCCTTCAGAATTATCCCCCAATCCAAATTTCTGGTCTGAAATCAGATGGGGTGGCTTTGAGAGCTGCACAGGGGTCAAAACCTTCCTAAACTGCTGCTTCTCCCCATGGTGCAAAGACAAACTTGTCAGTGCAGTTGACTCAGCCTCGTTCCCTGTGCCCTCCAGGGAGACGATATCTTGGACCGCAGCTCGGAGCTGATCTACACGGGAGAGATGTCCTGGATTTACCAGCCTTATGGACGGAACCAGCAGCGAGTTTTCTTTCTCTTTGATCACCAGATGGTTCTCTGCAAGAAGGTAAGGACACAGCTAAGGGCATGCTGTGGGCAGGCTCGCCAGTCCAAAGTGGTTTTCGGGGCATGGTGGCTGCTGGCCACACGTGCAGAAGAGGATGTGGAGAGCCCTGAGGAAGGACAATCCGCATGCTCGGCGTGGGGAGCACGCTGTGATAGAGGGATTTTTGTGCTCATAGCAAATCCAGCTTCCACTTGCTCTTTTCATGCCTTTATCTCATGTGCCCCTGGTTTGGCTCGTTGCCTCCCTTCTCGTTTTAGGTTTTGGCTGCGGTGTATGATCTGGGATTAGATAGCCCTGCAATTCCTGTATGAACTACAAAAGCTGGCACTGGGGCTGACAGCCCAATTGCTGCATTGAGCTGGTGATGAGCAGCAGCCAGGCTGTGCTGGGTGTCTCTGCTGCAGCTTGGGGAGAAGCTTTTTAAGCCTCATCCTCCTGTCTCTGCCGTGCTGGGTTTTACAGGGCCCCTCCCTGCCCGGGAAGCTGTGGAGAAGGTGGGAGGGCAGTGCAGGGTGCTGGTGCTGGTGTGCTGTGCTGTCAGTAGCAGCAGGTGAGCTGTGATCCCCAGAAACTGTCCAGCAGCAGCTCTGGTAGCCCTGTGTCCCACTGAGTGACCCCAGCTCAGTGCCACCACGCCAGTGTGACACAAAGGGACAGAGCTCCTCAGTGCTGGGTTTGCTGTCACTCCCTGCAGCACACAGAGCTGTGCAGGGGCTGTTCCTGTCACAGCTCCTGGGCTCAGGGCAGGCTGAGCCTGGCACCCTCCGTGGGAGGGGGCGTGGGTGGCTCCTGACTCAGCGCGGCATCACTGCCCCCTCCGTGGCCCGGCCACCGCAGTGGGTGGCACTTTCTGCTCCTGAGTCATGGCTGACTGAAATTCTGCCTTCTGGAATGCCTCTGCTTGTTTTTCCCCTCCTGGTTGCTGTGCCTTTCCCCCCTTGCCCAGCCCTGTGCAGAATCAGGCACAGAGCTGCAGTGAGGCTGGAGGAGCTGCTTTCCTTCCTAATGCTGACATCCTCCTCCTCCTCCTCCTCTCTGACTCTGAGCCTGAATTTCCAGTTCAGAAGGCAGCACCCAGTCTGGGGCTGGTCCAGAGATGTATTGAGCATTCCCCTAACTCTGGGAGAATCAGGGCTGGGATTTCCATGGTGGTCAGCAATTCACAGCAGGCTGCTGGGGGCCTGCAGGGTTCCAGCAGAGTTCAGTGCTGGTGTGACACTGTCCTCATCCCTTCTGCATGGAGAAGGCACTGTGGGAGGTGTGGAGGTGCTGCCCAGAGGTGCCTGCGTGGAAAGCACCCTGTGGATGGTGCCAGAGGGTCTGAGCCTTCCTGGCAGGGCCACTGGCTCCGTGTCAGGATCTGCCAAGGGGGCTGGGTGTGCCCACCCAGCTCTGGGGTGACAGCAGAGGGTGGCAGCCCCTCTGGTGACCCCCTGGACACGGGGCTCAGGTTCTCCCCCTGTGTCTCTTCTCCCAGCATCAAACTGCATCAAACTTTTCAGCATTGGGGTAGGAGGGGACATGAGGTTCCAGCTGGACTCTCCCATTCTGAGCACGCTCTCCTTTATTCAGAGTGAGTGTCCAAGTCTGGAATTCAGAGGATTTTTAGCTCCATTTTGGGACCACGCATCCCATATAGAAAATAAATGTGAGTGGTTTGTAGTCTGTGCTGTCTCCACCTCCCTGACAGATCCCAAGAGAAAGGATCAGCTCTGCTTCAGAGCTGGGGGAGGGAGGCACCATTTACCTCGAGGTTTGGGAAGCTGGGGCCAGCCTTCCTCAGCCCCTGCTCTAAAATTGAAGGATGGAATATGATCCACACATCCCTGAGGGCAGCTTTGGAGCCACTTAGGATGGCACATCTCAGTGAATCTTCAGAAAATCTGCATTTGTGGGTTTTCTTCAGGTGTAATAAATTAATAGGTATGATACATGCCTCATCATGACACAGTCTATATGAAAATCCTATTTATTTTTTTTTTAGATTATTATAGTTGATTTTCATCTCTTTGTTGGTCCAAAGAGATTTTTAGTAGAAATCATTTAAAATAAATATGCCACATATATTTAAATATGCCACAGATGCTTTGGTTTGATGAAGGCATGAGAGATATCCCAAGTGGCTTTAGAAGGCAAACAGATATTTCAGCCAGGATCCCTCACTCCTCCACAACTTCACTGCAGTTACTGCACATCCTCCTCTCCTCCCTGACCTGGGGAGGTGTTTCCATCCCTGGGTAATTCAGATGCTTGGGGAGGGTGATAGAGCTGTTCCTGCTGGGACAGAGTTTGATATCAGGCTGTCCCAGAGCTCTGTGACAATTCTGCTGCTGGCATTCCCCAGGAGCTCCCTTGTTCCCCTGGGGCTCGCCCTGCAGGCTCCTGCTCACAGTGGAAGATGAAGGTTTTTCCTGCTGGCCCATCCAGTGTTCCCTGGTGGGAACAGGAGCACTGTTGGCTGTGCAGGTGTTCCCAGTGTCAGCTTTCAGCACAGGGAACCCATTTCCTGACAAAGCCCACCTGCCCTGCTCGTGTCCTGCTCCCCAGAGGCTTTGCCACCCCTTTCTCTCGGTGTCTGGAAATGTTTCCAGGTTTCAGGGCCTTTTCTTGTTGGACACCTGGCCAAGGCATTTCTGTGAGGGGGAATAACTCTCAGGATGGTTGTTCCTGACATTATCACCTGGTTGTTGCCTGTTTTTTACACTGGGAATTCCTGAAGGCATTTCCATGACCACCAGGCCTTCAGACAGAGACCTGGGCTGGGAAATGAGTGATTTCCCAGGGCTGCACTCCAATGTGCTTGGCAGATGTTATTTCCACCACTGTGGGTGTGCTGAAGTTCTTCCTTCCAAGCAGGAAAGCTGCACTGATGTTTCCAAGGGCTGCAGCAAATGGAGAAGCTGACACCACGGCAGACACCTTGCAGAGCAAATTGTGTGGGATAATTTTCACCAAAATAGTTTCCAAGCTTTACAGATAAGTCTCTTTGGCTTAGATTTTGCCACCAGAGACAGAACTGGTCACTTCCTAACATCACCACTGAATTTTTTCCTGGTTCCAGGCAATGAGGAGTTTGATCAGAGGAAGCATGGCCTTGTCAGCTATTTCAGGGTTCAACAAACTGAATGCTGAAACACCAGTTTGGATGCTACAGTTCCTGATCCAGAGCCTGGGAGAGCTCAGGATCCAGGTTTTCCTTGCAAAGCCTGGTGACTTTCAGCTGTTGGATCGATGTGAAACTCCCCCAGTGAATTTCTGCCCATGTTTCCTGAACCAGAGGCTGGGACACTGCTGGGCATGAGGACAAAGTGGTGCCTTTTCCAAAGAGCTGGTTGGATGCCCTAATTCAGAGCTGCCTTTTGGGAAGGCAGAAGGGAATAGGCTGGGCAGGAAGCAAGCAGTGCCTCAGTGTGCCTTGCCATATGTGTATAATCAGGAGAAAAATGCCTATTCTGGGATGCTGGCCGTACTTACCAAGAAATGAAGGCAATCCTGGATGATGGTAACACTAAAAGATGTTGCCTTAAAGGCACAAGGTCCACTTTCCTAATCACCCTGAAGTTGAGAGAGTTTGACACCGAGATGCTTTAGATTTGCAAATCATGGTACTTAACATCCAGGCCTGTGACACACAGCATTAATTATGATCACTTTGGGGATGCTCGAGGTTCTGGGCAGATGAGGATCTTCTTTTTTCTGTTCTGGGTAATAATTTGAATTCTCCCAACAGGCTCCAGGGCACTGTGGCATGAGGTTGGGAATGACAGTGTGAAGTAGGAAGGGTTAACAGAGTTACTCCTCTAAATTCCACTTGTCTTTCACCAATAGCCGAGCAGTCCTTGATGGGGCCCCGAGTTTAGTGTTCACTGACAGCGCAGGAAGATCAGTGACTGCATGAAACACATTTAGTTTTCATTTGTGCTTTTTATGTGTCTCTTGTAATCAGGAGGCAATGCAAGCTCCAGCTTGTGGTTTATTGCTGTTGCTGTCTTCCCTTGAGCTGCCCGAGCAAAGCAGGGTGGATGGGAAGCAAAATGAGACCAGTTTAAGAGCAGCAGCCAGACAGGCAGCCAGAAATAGTGGTGCTACAGGAGATGGAGTAAATAAAATAATCCTGTCAGACTCCATTGCAGTCCAGGTTTCCAAATGAGAAGATAAAAGAGACTTTGCTGAGTCCTTTCAGTGGAAGGAGGAGTAGCTCCCGTGTTGGAGGAAACTCTGCACCAAAACAACGGCCCTGCTTTTATTACAGGCTAAAGAGGGCCTGTGGGACCAGCCAAAAATCCTGTTTGCAAACACACAGCAGCTCTGGGACAGTTCTTATTACTTTAAGTGGGTTTTCAATTTCATCAGCACCTCCCAGCTCTTCTCCTTTTCTCCCAGTGACACAGATCTCCACAAAATGCCACGTTTTGGGTCGGGCTGGGTTTTGGGAGCTCAGGAGAAACTCGGTGCTGCCCTGAGGTGATCCCTGAGGTGTCTGTGCAGGGCCAGGAGTCAGACTCAGATGATCCTTGTGGATCCCTTCCAGCTCAGGATGTTCCATGACTCTATGAGGTGGGCATGGAGAGAACACAGTGGCTTGGTCACAAATGAAATGAAGTTTTTAGCGAGCAGCATTTCCCCAGCCCCACTGAGAGACCCCCGAGCTCTTTCCCAGCTGGTGCTGTCTGCAGGCAAGAGGTTTCTGTGGGCCCACAGAGCATGGGAGGAAATTTGGGTGCTTCAGCAGTTCCTTGGCCAGCAGACAGCCAAGGAAGGCGAGTCCAGCAATTAACAGGTATAAATTAAAATAAAATATAGATTAAAAGCAATTATGAAACAGCACTCCAGCTATCAGACAGGGAAGGAGACATTCCTGGGAATGGTCCCACAGGCTGGAGCCTTTGCAGGGCTGTGCAGTGATGTGCCCTGAGCAGTGTCACAGGAGCTTGTGCTGACCTGGAGCCACTGCCTGACAGGAGCAGAGAGGGAACAGCAGGATCCAGAGGGACTGGAGG